TACTTAATTTTTATTCCCTTCAAATATAATTCCCGTAACACTATTTGAGACTTTAAGTTTTTGTGTAAGAAATATAAACTTTAACTATTTATTTTACTTCCGCACTAAATTTATAATTTATTTTCTTTATAATTTCCGGTATCTTTACAGTTTAAACCCATTAATTAAGTTTAGTTTTAGTAAATTATGATGATAAATACTTTATAATAGTTGGATTTTTTAATTAGAGAACCACAACAAGATAAAAATGTGTTAAATATTCAGAAAAAAATAATTAAATTAATTAATTGTATAAATAATTATACACATATATAATATTAGCGGATTGAGAATCAAATAATTACTGAAATTTCTGAAAAAAAAAAGTAGATTTTAATATTTTCTTTATAATAAATTGTAAATTTTTATTAAATTTATTTATATTATACAATTACAGTGCACGAACAAGAAACGTGGAGGCAACAATTTATCCAGAAGCTAACACGTGCCGCACGAGCGAAGCGAGCAGGAGAGCGCAAGTTTCCAGATTCAAAGGAAAGCGTCTGGTTCTCATCTTCCCACATCAGCATTTCACCCTTCCACGCCTAATTTTCCCTCTCCTCAAATTTATTATAATAATTATTTTTTTCTCCCATGGATGAACGTAATGAAATATCTCTGTGTTTCTTTGAAAAACCAGAGTTTCTTCCATTTGGCGGCAGAAGAGACTTGCATGTGTCAATGGCTCAGTTACTCTCTCCTGTCTGCACAGATGTTCTTAAATTCTCGACACCGTGGCGCGTGCAAGTTAAGGCTACTGCTCTTCCTTGGAGCTTAACGGCCCAAAATGGCAAGAGAAGAGGCTGTGCGAGGTTCAAAGCTGCAACAAGAGATTCTGCTTCCGTCGAGAACGTTGCCGATGACTACTATGCCGTTTTGGGCCTGGTAAGAGTTGGGTTTTCGATTTGCTTCTCTTTGCTCCACTAGGAAGTGTATGAGCAGGAACATATCATGTTCTGAAACTAATGTCTGTGTCATTTCCGATTGAAGTTAGACTTGTTTTGATAAATATGGTGAGCGATTGCTCGCGATTGATCATGCGATTATAAGATGAATTGTACTTGAAGGAGCTCTTCATGTGTTTTTGCTGTTACTGGTGTATGTTCAACTGATTATATAGCAGTTTTTTCTGCTATACATGAGAGTTTAGATATTGAATTTTTGTTTTGGGAGATTCGTAGTTGTAAGCTGTGAAGTTTCAATTATTACTGTCTGATACATCTTACTTCTTGTTGTCTGTGTCTCTTATAGCTGCCAGATGCAACACCAGCGCAGATCAAGAAAGCCTATTATAATTGCATGAAAGCTTGTCACCCGGACTTAAGTGGAGATGATCCTGAGACCACAAATTTCTGCATGTTCATTAATGATGTCTACGAGGTGGGTTCTACTTTGAAATGGAGTGGTTTAAGTATGAACTTTTGTTAATGTGCTTCTGTTATAAATGGACTATTGCAGTGCAGGTGCTCAGTGACCCCGTGCAGCGTATGGTCTATGATGAAATACACGGATATGCATTAACTGCTATCAACCCTTTCCTGGATGATTCCTGCCCGAAGGATCATGCATTCGTCGATGAGTTTAGCTGCATAGGTTTGTCTCTGTTCGCATTTTTATTTGCACCTAGTTGCATATTGTATGTCCACTTGTTGGGTTTGTTAAAACATCATATCTTTCCTGGGTATTACAGGCACTGACATTGGAAATTCTTGTCGTTTTAAGTGGTGGTTAACATCTTTAAGTATTTAATATTGACTAGATCATATCAAGGAATGCCATGGCCCTTTCCAACTTAAGTTGAGGTTAATTGCAAGCTTTGTATCTCTCTTATATTTATTGTTTTTTAATTTGAAAATTATACTTGTGAAGACATATTGCTTGCTGTGCAAAACAAGTTTTATGGAGGCACAGATTATTGCAGCCAAAACCTTTAGAAGTGCTAATGAATTTGTTCTAATTTCTTCACAGGCTGCAAAAATTGTGCTAATGTGGCCTCGGATGTCTTTGGAATAGAGGAAGACTTTGGGAGAGCTAGAGTATATAACCAGTGTGGGAACCGTGAATTGGTGCAACAAGCAATTGACAGTTGGTAGGTTCTCATTTTTTATTCTTTCATTTTTCATGATACGCTAAACATACGTACATATAAAAATATCTTCATATCCAAGACAAGGTAACGCGAACTTTGTACTTGTACAGTGGGTTCAATTTGTTTTAGGTTGTTAAAGTGGAAATCTGAAACATTACAAGCTAATTTCCTTTAGATCATTTTTTCCCACATTAAATTGATTCAATCTCTGTACTTCAAATTTGTATTTAGAAGGAAAGAAAGGGGTTTATCGATTAAAATTTTATAAATAATGTATTAGTGGAAAATTATAATAAGAATCGCTAGAAAATTAGTCTGGTCACTTTTGAAAACAATGAGCACATGATTGATTCCCTTTAATAACCTGTGTAACATAAACAATTTTATTGTCAAAATTGAGCACCTTATTTGTTCCCACTATATAGCCATGTAGTCAAACTTATGATGTAATAAGATTATAGCTAAAGTTATTATCATGATTACAGCTCCACCAACTGTGTAATCACTACATCACATTGTATTGTGAAATTAATTGTACGCATGACATTGCAAGATTATTAATCCAACCAAAGTGTAGAAACTTATATTTTCTTTTGTTGTTAGTGTTGTTATTCCAAGTATTTTCATTGGCTTTTGTGTTGGTTAGAGGTTAGTGTTAGTTTTAGGGATGTTTTAACAAACGTTACCATAGAAATCAAAGAATTAATATTCTGGTGCTTTGCTTGTAATCTGTATCTTTTCTTTATCTGCTTTTGTACCCTTGTTAATCATTTTGCTCCTTCCCCTTTCCAACTTGTGAAGTCTACTAAAGTACTCTTGCAAGGGAACTCTTTTATTTATTTGTAATAGAAAAATGAGTATTGTTAAAGAGGAAAAAAGATAATTACATTTGAGGATAAGACATACTCCATGAACCTTCAAAATAGAAGATTCAATAAAAGATACATGAGAAGCATACAGCAAACAAGCAATGAAAACAAGAAGAAAGTAAAGCCCTCCCCTAAGAATTATGAGATTATCACATCCCAATTCTTGTGAACCGCAGGTGGAGCTATATCAGAAAACTTCCCATGAGCTTTTCCCCATAGTGTGGCCAAAAATGTCATTTGATCCCATAGATCCTGGCTGGGCCAGAAGTAATCATTAAAAATCTGCCAATTCTTTCAAGCCATAAAGTTAATAGTTGCACGGAAATTGCCCCCTCTCTACAGGGTTTTGGTGATCTTTGGAATCCCCTCCATGTATAGAATAACTCAAGAAGCACTCCGCCGAAGGGGGAGTCTTACAAAGAAATTCTCATCTTAGATCCTGTTCGTTATTCAAGTTTAGATAAGTTATTGATCCTTCCTTATTTTCTGACTATTAGTTTTGACAACTTAGATCAACTAGGTAAGTTACTATAAATCAGAGGTTAAGAAAATGCTAGAAAAGGTGGGGTGCTGCTGTCTTTGGTTCACAGATGATAAAATAAAGTATCATTTTCGTTTCATGTGGATACTTGCAACTAATTTTAAGCAAGAATCACTTTACATGTATTGTAGTGTCCATATAGGAAGTCTATGACAAGACGTGTACAGAAATTAACAACAGATATATTCTA